GGGGGGGGTAGGTATTGACAACGTGTCTGTCATTACTTGGGGTTAATTAACCCCCTCGATTGGATGTATTTGGGGTTAATTAACCCCCTAGATTGGATGTATTGGGGTTAATTAACCCCCTAGATTGGATGTATTGGATGTATTGGGGTTAATTAACCCCCTAGATTGGATGTATTGGGGTTAATTAACCCCCTAGATTGGATGTATTGGGCGTTAATTAACCAGTTCTCTAGGGGGTTACTCAACACTCGCTAGGACGACTTTTTCAACTGCTTTCTAACCGTAATTGGAGTCATACATCCACGACTTTGGACGTATTTGCGTCCAGATACCTGCAGGAAAGTTCTACCAGTGTGAGTACGTGCTCTCATTCATATAATAGGTTCCTTAACTCTGATAAGACCGTTGACCGTTGAGATTACGGTACTTTTTTTTTTTTTTTTTTTGTGACTACAGCATCGCAATTACGCCCGTTTCCCACACGTGCTGCCTTCGGCGAATAGTTTGGAGCGTATTTTCAAAATAATAATAATAATATAAATTATATAATAATAATAATATAAATTATATATTAATAATAATAATATAAATTATATAATAAGAGTAAGAATAACAATAAGAATAGTAAGAATAATAACAACAACAACAACACACACACACACGCACACACACAAAAAAAAAAAGACACAAAAATAAAGGTATGCTGTATGATGACAACATACACGCACGCACGCACTTTATTTATAATTTTAAAAAAAGAGCACACTTTATTAAAAGGAAAAAAGCCCGTGTGTGACATCCACAACCAGCAGGCTTTTCTTTTGACTTCTGGCTTTTTTCATTCAACCATCAGTACCTTCTTACCCCGAATAGAACGTACGGTCATTATAGCTGTATTTGGGCCATTTTTCAGTCTAAATACATCTGTAATGATCGTCCGTTCCATTCGGGGGAAGAAGGTAGTACTTGGCCCAGCTATCGGTCGTGGAAAAAAAAATAGCGTAGAAACATTTCCAGTCGGATGAATTTGGTCTCTCCTGTAGTGCTCCGTACGGTTCCCAGAATCGTGGCTTTATTTTAACGGGCACAATTTTAAAAAGTACTGGTGTTTAAAAAAAAAAAAAAAAAAATCATTATACATTGCCAGTAAAAAAAAAAAAAAAAAGCCAGGAAACGGGCCTACGTAGCCTTCATCACAAATGTAGCGCCGCTTCACCAGGGCCGAGGTCCCACTAGCAAAAAGGATAGGATCGAGCTCCTGAATCTGGATGTGTTTTCAGCACAGATTCAGAAAAACCGTTCAATCTCGATTTCCTGCACATCTCCATATAGTCGTCCAGATTCAGGCATTCGATCCGATCCTCTTTGCTAGTGGGACCACGCCCCAGCCAGCAGAGGGCGAGGCATCCATCACCTGCCACGCTCAAAGGAGGTGCTATTGCATTGAATAAACCGAAAAAGGGAATGACCAACAAAACCCACATCCCAGTCCCACTACTGCCCCCTTCTACCCTTTTTTTTTTTTTTTCCACGAATCAAACGTTGAAAAACAAAAAAAAAAAAAGCTTTTTCTTTGCTTGTCTCCTTTTTTTCTTTTTTTTTCTTTTTCTTCTGGATTCGAACTTATGTTTTTTTTTTGTGTGTGTGAACGTCAACCTTTCCGCTATGAACCGGGCACTCCGACCAGGTTCATACCGAGGTTGCCAGTGCACTATTCAAGACAGAAAAGGGGTCCAGCGCCCACATTACATCAAAAAAGCCAGATCGTATGAAGCCGCCCCCCGTGGGGGCAGCACAGTACACACACACAACAACAACAAAAAAAACGAAAAAAAAAACGACAAATGAGTGATGCCAATCAATGACGAGTGGAGTAGGAGTAAGAAGAAATTTCCCTGGAACATCGGAGAAGTTTTGGTGGGAGTGTATCGAGTCGAAAAGGATATGGATATGGGTTGTCTAGAGTGGGCACTAAAAGAGATTTGGGGGGCAAAGGAAATCCGTTGAGATAGAGAAGGTTTGTTCTTTTTTTTTCTTTTTTTTTTTTCAAAAGGGAGGGCCCAATGCCCAAGGCTCAAGGGTAAGAAGGGGTATTTCATCTGGTTTAGGGTTGGGTTGGGGATACGTAGCGGCAGAGGCAAGGGCAGCAAGCAAACATGAATGTGAAATGGAAACACAGCGACATGAGAGACTACCCCTTTCCCCCCCCCAATACAACGTAATGAGGTCATTAAGGCTGTGAATTTGGACTGAAAGATACCCCAAATACATTCAGCTATAATGACCTTATTACGTTGTATATTCGGCGGGGAAGCCTGTAGTCAAAAAAAAAGTTCTACTCTGACATCTTCCTACTGCAAAGAATTTTCGGAAAATATTAAAATTAGAGTAATGATCATGGGGGGGGGAGGGGGTAGATTGAAGAAAAAAGAGCAATGATCGGGGGGGGGGGGGGGGTGTAGATTGGAGAAAGATGGGAGAAAGAAGGGTAATAAGTCCGACTAATCAGGCCAACAAATAAAGATGGTTAATTAGCACCTGGGGGCCCTGCAAGGCAAGGGAAGTCGGTGGGAAGAGGAGAAGAGGGGAACATCAACATCATAACGTCACCGTGACCTCTGGGACCTACAGTAGGCCCCCGTGAGCTTGTGCCCGGGGGAGGGGGGGAGGGGGGGAGGGAGGGAGGGAGAGAGTAGGATGACAGCCGAAGCCATGGACGAGGGAATTGAAAGGAGAGAGACTTGTAATGGGGTGGGAATGAGTTTTCCTCTTTGGGACAATTGGAACATCACAGCGAATTAGAACACAGGGGAGGAACACTGTGTATTTTAGGATAGACAGACGGGCACGGGGTCCATATTGGTTACCAAAAAAAAAAAAAAAAAAAACAGAAAGAAAGAAAGACGAAAGGGACGTTGGGACACAGCAATGGACCGCACACATAGCTAGGATCCATTATCACCTGGCGTGGCGCTAGAGAAGAGGGAAGAGAAGAGGGAAGAGAAGAGCGAAGAGAAGAGGGAAGAGAAGAGGGAAGAGAAGAGTGAAGAGGCCATGTGTGTATGTGTGTGCCCGTCGCACAAGTATGACAGAAGTGATTGTCTGTGAGGTGATGGCATTTTTTTCGTTTTACTATGGACTGTTAATCAATGCGACGCTGGACCCGATTTCCAGCAGTGCAGCGCCCCAAGAACAGATTGAAGCACGTTGGGATATATTTTTTAAAATAAATATAAAAAAAATATTAAAAAAAAACTACCGAAAAGGTTTTTTTTGTGCGGCGCTGCATTTTCGTTTTATTACTGTTAATCAATGCGACGCTGGACCCAGCGCAGCTCCCCAAGAATAGATTGGAGCACGTTGGGACATATTCGAAGGAGGAAAAAAAAAAAAAAAAAAAAAAAAAAAAAAACTACCGAGAAGGTTTTTTTGTGCCGTGCTGCATTTTCGTTTTACGATTGACTGTTAATCGATGCGACGCTGGACCCGATTTCCAGCAGTGCACGTTGGGATATATTCCCAAAAAAAAAAAAAAAAAAAAGTACCGAAAAGGACGCTGCACCCTCCGAAGCTGTCGGGGTCGCCACACCCTGCAAAACCGCCCTGCCACCCGCGCACGGAAGGGGTCTGTAACCGCAGCGCCCCCCCCCCAACTGCGGACACAGACCCCCCCACAGAACCCACAGAACCCACTCGTGATTCACAGCGGATTGCACCTCTGCCCACCCACCCACCCACCCTCCTCGCGAGTCAGGGCGGACTGGCGGATTGGCGGATTGCACCTCTACCCACACTCATCCGTACCGAAGAACGCCAACTGCCACCACGATGGCGTTTTTTTGGCCAAAGCCGGTGGATATACGCTACCTGGCGCGCGGCCAGGGCCCAAAGACCCCCCCGCAAAAACCCTCCCTCCCTCCCACCTTTCAACAATTCATGGGTGAAAAAAAAAAAAAAAAAAATTCATGGG